AAAGATGTCTTTTAGCGTAGACTTGTAATTGCTGCGTGTCGCATCTTAGCCCACCGTCCACGCATCACCCTAATAAAACAACGTCTCGCAGTCATTGGATCTTAATATTAAACGTATTAAAATGGTGGATTGATAGCATTCATATTATAATAAAGTTCCAAAAAAATAGCACGTAAATAAGTTTTTTGCACAAGTCATAAATTCAACCAATTGTCAAAATTTTTAAATAGTTTGGTACATATTAAGTATGCCAACGACAAGTCTCTAGGCTTCTTTGTTGACTCTTCCATGTTGCCAAAAAGGACAAAGTCTTTGAGTACTCATTAGATGATATTCACCTAGAATGAATAAATCTCATGCAATTGTCCCCCTTAGGCCATCCACAAAAATACGCCATCGATGTCCTTTGATATTAAGTCTGATTTTCTAGTCATCGCTCTAACTTTTTAATGCTACTGTAATACTCCGAATCATGAGACACCAATGTTCATATCCACGGTATTCCTTAATTATCATTGCATGGAGGATCTGTTTATGTTTCCAAAAGTAACTGGCGATGTTGGCAAGGCTAACTGAGAACTGCTGAACTACAGAATAGAGTGGAAGGTGAAGAAGAGGTCCAGGGTGCAAGGAAGTGTAGGTGTAGGTGTGGCGAGATAAAGCATTGGAGCGATCAGCACGACAGGTGGGCAGAGCCAAGCACCTACTAATAAAAGTATGAGTAGAGTATGCATGAGTAGGTGCAATTATATGCTACCATAAATTTCAGGATAGAAACAAGAGAGATAGGCAAAAGAAGACGCAACTGGAAGTGAAAGAGGCTGAAAAGAAGGCATAAACACAGAGGAGTAAGGGAGATTTGGGCTGCGATAGGAAATGCTGAGTAGCAGTGCCTTGGTGAGCCGGGAGCAAGTGAGAGCTACCCGGAGCAGTAGCCTTGGTGACCGCGCGTGGTTATCGCTTCTCGGCTCTCTGAGCTAAGATCATGTGTAGTATCTGTTCTTTGCAGTGTAATTTCTGCAACGGTCCCTAATTTGGGGCCCATGAAATTACCTGTATTTTTCCAACCAGGGTGGGTGCTGTGAGCTTGCTCAACCCCGTCCACGGGTCGGCCTCGTATTGCATTACCTCGAGGATTGGCCCACTAGTGAGTACCAAGATAGAGGGAGGCAGCGGCTTAAATGATGCTGGCGTGGCATCCTGCAGCTGGTTGCATGTGGTCTGTGTGCACCCTAAGTAACCTCCACCCATTATGGGATCGTACATCAAGCCTTTGAACGAACAACACAAATCCCCCAAAATAGTCCCTTTCA